GTGTGTGTGTGTGTGTGTGTGTGTGTGTGTATGTGTGTGTGTGTGTGTGTGTGTGCATCAGTGCTGAGAATTTCGCCTTTTTTTGTAACCATATACATATGTATTTTGCTGGGATTTTATTAAACAGTAGATCCGTACGGTTATTGCGACGAAAATTCTGGTCCCCACTGGGGACCGCATATAACGACGATCAAGGAATCTGATTCTTCTGTATTTTAATATTCATTGTAATAAATATACATATGTACATATAGTCTTTATACATATATTTTTCAAATTATACAAATTCATATATCTGTGATGCTTTTACAATCCGTAGTTAGCAGCACTGGCAGTATACATATGTATGTATGTACGCATATGCACACCTCTGCGTATGTACATAGTACATATGTATATACATATGTATGTATTCATATGATCGCAATTATCATAAAAGCATTCACACGAGCATATTTATACAAGTTAACCCACAGCAATAGGAGAGAAGCTCCTGATTAGGAGCATTTCATCTTTGCCTACACTTTTCTTATAGTAAATAGTCCGTAGGCTCATATATTTAGTGTATCTTATTTAGAATCCCAAATGTAGGCTTATTGGTAGTCCTCTTTAACTACCAAAATTTAACAGGATGATTGTGGTTGGTCTTCTCCATATATAAACGAACGATGATATAAAAACGTTCACTTGAACTTGATAAGGCTATCACACACCTCCTGCAAGCTAGAATTCAAAGGTTTTGTATTAATATTTCTTATTTAGTCTGTTTAGGGCCATATTTATTATCCACAATAGATTATTATTTTTCCTTAGTTCAATAGCCTGAGTAATATTTACTAAATTAACTTAACTTAATTAAATTAATTCAGGTTATTAATTAACCACATTCTAGATTTCATTCAATTTAAATGACTCTAATTCTTGTAACATGTGAGGTACATCTAAAAAAAATCAAAAAGCTCTATTTTTATATACATATACTTATTTAATGAGTAATAAATTCCCTAAGAGCTTATATAATTTTCGGAATAAACACGGGAAGAGAAAGGGAGAGTTCTAAATTGGCTCAACATCACTCTTTATAAAGTTATAAAACTCATATGTATATAATTTAATAGTTAAAAAAATAAAATGTATGTATGATGTATAAGTATTTGTAGAGTTGAATACTAATTGTACCATACATTTTAGAAAGGGTGTACCTTTAGTTTTGTACATATGTTTGCATAAGTGTGTATGTGAACAAAGCCAGCTGGTTTGGCTAGCTTGCGTAGAAAGAATTGTGCTATGGAGCCGAGCCTCCAAATAGCAAGTTTCGACATCTCGCTCTTTTTACTCGCTCGCGCTCGCTCGTCCGCTCGCAGCTAGCGCTGGGGCCTCGGGCGCTCTAGCCCGGCTGCTATAGATACACTGAAGCGAGGCAGCGACAGTCTGTGTCTATGCTTAGACCTCGATAGTTGGGCGCGGAAAGTAGTGCATGTCAACGTAGTCTCACGAACAAAATTCCAAGATCGAATTCATCGGCGACGACTGACTTCGGCCCCCTTTCAATTAGCTGCAATAAACCTTGCACTCTCTGACTGTGAGAGCGAGAGAGTGGGCATGAGTGCGTGAAACAGCTGTTGACGAATTATTGAATACTGCTTCGGCCTTCGTCGATTTTCAAGTTGTAAAATCACAACGGTAATAACTGAAAACAAACATCAGCTCATATTTGTGCAGATGTGTACATATGTGTGTGTGCACTTAAGTATTTTTGTATACATTCAAAACATACGTGTGAACTCGTAAATAATCAAAAATGCATTTGAACTAATAACAATCTGAAAATTAATATATTCTTATTTTGAATGTCGTGTTGTGCTCTAGAGTGTTTAACATAATTTGACGGTCGCGCCATTTATATATACATATATTTGTATACACGACTCACACATCAACACACGAAGTATATACATGCATACATACACTTAAAAAAATTACGAAGCATTATATTTAAGAACAATAAGCGCTTGTATTCAGATCCAAAAACTTTTTGCTTACATACATATGTATGTACATATGTATATACATACATACGTAATCGTGAGCTTCAATAGAAAAACTCGCATCTAAAGACAAAAATATCAAATGTATATATCATTGCTACAATTGGTATGCATATGTATGTAAGGAATCGTTTACACATGCATACGTGTACATACATATGCGTACATAAAACTACAACTTAAGATAAAAACCACGTTCGCGTAAATATGCAAAAAAATAACATACATATGTATGCATTACATACATTTGTACAGTGATTAATTACCCTAAAGAGGTATTTGTACGCTTATCAAATGATGAGGCTGGCGCGTGTTTCGCTTCCATGTATTTTCGTGCTGAATTCCAGCTTTTTTATGACCGACATCATACTGAGTACAGTAAAATAGTAAACTAGTGAATATTGATAGGGTAGTGTACTTTTATTTTGGTTACAGTTGATGCGCCACACGTTGGTTAGCTTACTGGAGGGCTCACTGTGTACTCTTCGGTCGTATGCTCGATCAGCTGTTACAAATAGGGGAGGGGGATGATTGAAGCAAAGTTTGCAGCTGCCGTTCGTCGTTTCCTTCTTCGTGAATGTTATCAACAAAAGCTATTTAAAGTATGACTACGCGTACGTATGTACATATGTATGTATCTATTTACGTATATATGTACGCATATAATATACAAATAGAGATGTGTATAGCTACTTGTATGTTGTATATTGGTTTACTGCAAACGAATCGATACAATCCGTTCTAAATAAATACATATTGTATTATTGGTATATTAAATTTTTACTTTTTAACTTATTTCAAAATTTTTGTAATAATAGGCAACAAGGTGCACAGAACTTTTACA